GTGGGTCTAAGGGTGTGTCAGAATCCAGGGGCAGGATGCTTGTAAGGTCAAATTTTGAGGTCGATGTCACAGGGCAGCGACGAGTACTGTCCGAATTCTAAGAATACTCATTCTCGCGTCCTCAAAATGCGTCCTCGCTCCGCCCACATTCTGAGGATGGGTCTGTTGTATCCTCACAGAACAAGGCTATCCCAGCATGCTTTGCACGCCGACTGTGGATTTTTAACAGGAAAAAAAATGGAAAGAGCTATGAAGTTTTGTTGCGTCCCTGACAGGAGGTGTTAAAATGTGAAGGAGGGGGTAACAAGAATTGCGACAGTGGATTTAAACTGGTTTTAATTGTAGTAAAAGGTTCTAAAAATGAGCAAACAGATGGCAAACATTATAAAGAATGCAAAATTAACAAAAACTCTCAAAAAGGTTAACATAACACAAATAACCAACCATAAAAACACCTGGTTAAAACTTATATTAAAAGCTTTACCGAACAGAAGGTGTTTTTAAAATCCCGAAGTTGATAAAAGTCTGAAACAATCTACTGACTTAAAACACCTGGTAAACACTTATATTAAAAGTTTTACAAAACAGAAGGTGTTTAAAACCGGAGTCAATAAAATTGCAACAAACCAAGTTAAACTTAACAAACAAAGACCCATTGGGACCACTCAGAGTTAAAACTATTTAAGATAAGACTCTTCAACTCATCAAAACGAAGCGGGTTTAAAACAAAAACGAGGCCTGGAGGACAGCAGAACCCCTGCACTGCTGCCTCCCAGACTGCTGCAGGCACAACCTTTTTATCCAGATGTTGTAATCAGCAGGTTTCAGCTCAGCTGTGCTCCTCAGCATCCTGGAAGAGAGGAGGAGGAGGAGGGGGGTGTCAGGCTGATCACTGGGGCTGGGTGATCCTGGCTCCTGAATCGCACTGGCCAGGCTGGTAGCCGTAACAAGTTTCAAACGTAGGTTTGTTTATAAACTAGCCATAGAAAACTAAAACGCTTAAAGCGCTTCTGTTTATAGACATTTTTCATTTGTATATTTGTCTCTTAAATTACATTTTTGGCAGAAACCATCATCACACCTCACACTGTGAGCAGGCTGAACTGAGCCATTGTGTGTGTGTGTGTGTGTGTGTGTGTGTGTGTGTGTCGAATTAAACTTATCGTTTGTTTTAGGGAGAAGAGAGCAATGAAGTGTTTTTATAAAGCTTGGAGGTAAAGACTGAAGCTGTCCACACATGAGTACAGCAGTTCTTCTGTGTTCTGCTGTGAAAACTAGTTTCACATTCAGACAGTTGATGTTTTAATGAACAATTAAAATAGTGTTTGTGTTTCTTTAGCAAATTAAGCTTATCATTTGTTTTAAGGGCAACAGAGCAAAGAAGCGTTTTTATTAAGCTTAGAGGTGAAGAGGGAAGCTGTCTACACACGACCACAGAAGTTCATCCTGTGTTCTGCTGTGAAAACTAGTTTTACATTCAGGGGTTTACACAGTTGACACATTATAATGAAGTTCAAATAGTTTGTGTGAAGAATATAATTTTTATCTCATGTGGATAAATGTAAAAATGTGTTTATTGCTTTTTTGTCACCTGTGGTCTCTGATTTCTCTGTTTAGGACTGCAGGTGTCCAGGGTCAGGAGAGGCTTTACCTGGTGGTCCTCCTGGGAGAGAGGCCTTCTACTGTCATCATGTAATGTTATTTAGTTGTTTGATATTTGAACACATTTATTAAAACAAATACTAACTGATAACTCATTTGATCTTCCCTTTTATCACCAGTTTTATTAATTACAGATATTTTTGAACAGGTTACATGAACAGAAAATGAAAAGATGGTAAGGAGACAAGATTATTTATAATACATTGCAATGACACACTGGCTTGACTGACGGACTGAGACATTCTGCTGTAAAGTCTCATTATGAAATAAATCAGCCATGGGGAAAACACTATAATGAAATAAAAGCTGTCTTTGTTAAAAAGACATTATGTAATAAAAACTGAATGAATTAAATAAAATGGCTCAATATTAATTTGGATTATTATGAAAAAATGACATTTGAAAAAACCCCATTATATTAATAAAGACATTTTCAAAGAAGAATGAAAAATATTTCATAATATTGAGCTTGGATGTTACATAACATTCTGTTATTTCATCATTTCTTTACATGATTGTCTAGTACTTAGCAAGGTTGTTTTCATTGCTGCTTGGCAATGGGGCTCTCATGCATTAAAAATGTGAGTCATGTTTATTTACATGAAGGTGCGTTTACTCTAAGTAATTTATAATTTTCAAGATAATGATTCTGAAGTGAATGCAGTGAATAAACCTGGCATGCATGTTCTGGAGTACCTGGATAAAGCACATGTATGAGGAGAACATAACACCAAGCAGAACAGCTGCCTGCCCACAGGATTTGCACCTGTGATCTTCTTTTTGCAAGGCAACAGTGCTACCAGCTACTCCACCAAGCAGCCCAAGTTTAAGTCAGTCACACTAGTTTTTGATCACCAGCTGCACCCCTATTATCTGCCTATAAGTTCTTTATTTTTAATACACCAAAATAAATAGTTGAAAGAATAAAAGCTCTATATTGCAAAATGTAAAAAGATAACTGTCCAAACGCTGAATATGTATATTTATATTTAATCCTAGCATGAACCTATTGGAAATAGCTGAAAATGTTTGAACTTTGCATCACATTTTAAAGGCACACTTGGCAGTTTTGCTTGCTTTTAGCACTCCCCAGTGTCCATTAATAATATCTGTGGTCAAAGCAAAAGGGAAACTTATCTCCTTGCTGTGCGTTCGTCATTTTAACACCTTAATCTAACAGCTGAAATGTCTCCACAGCCTTCTTTAGTGTCTAAAGGAGCGATTCATCACTAAATGAAACAAATCAGCTGTGTTTGTGATCTAAAACATGCAGGAAACGTGCTGGAAGTAGACCACACTAATTCCCTCTGGGATTAATAAAGTATTATTGAATTGATTTGAACTGAATTGAATTGAAATATGTCAGCTAATTTTTTTCTAAGTGTGACAGGTGCCGGCCTGGCATTCTGAAGTTGCAAATACGGTATTCTGGCCACAGAGGATGGTAGGGGTCTGAGTGAAATTTCATTAAAGGGTCATTTTAGCACATACTGCCTCAAGGAAATTATTTAAAATTTTGGAAAAGTTGCATAATATCCCTTTAAAGGTTTAGAAAATGCTGGAATATCCAATGATGCGTTCTAAACCTAAGCTATAGCAGAGTTAAAATATTGTGAGGCAATAAACTGACACATTCAGTTTATACATGTATGAATCATCAATGATTCTTGATTGTGAGAGACTGTAATGCACAGCAGAGTTTGCCAGAAAAACATTCTCTGTTTCTGTCACATAGCGCCCTCTGGTGGAGGTAGTACAAACACAGGAATACCTGAAATACATTTGACCATGGCTTCATTTGCTTTACGTAAAAACAATCTTAATGTCTAAATAAGTCCTAATAAATAATTCAAATTAAACATGATATAATCTCTGGAAGTGTCCATCAAAAACAATCAACAATTGTTTTTGATTGTTCTTCCTCATAGGCAATTTCTGCTTTACATTTATGATCACTCGAAATAATTCTCGAGAAGTGTTATGTCACCAAAATATTAATTTGTACTTATTTGTTTTAAAATGATCAAGCAGCAGTAAAGTTGTCTGACAGTCTCTTATTAGAGGAAACGTCTGAAATGAGGCTTGCTGTTCATTTTGAGAAAACATTTAGAAAATGATTGTTTAGTAATGAAGACAAGTGTCTCTGCTCAGAGTCATAACCAACAAGAAGCTGTTTTTTTCTGACAACATTGCTTCCAGATTTCATGTAAATTGGATTCAAGCCCTGTGTAATTCTAACTGTTGTCACCTTTTAATCCTTAAATCCTGACCGGTATGTTTTGGTTGTCTCAGTCATATCGCTCAGTGCTGCAGCAATGCCTGTCTATACTGTTCTAATAGATTACTTCACTTCTGAATAATTTGATAAGAATTTAATGAATATCATCATATCTGCTACTCTCCTTGCAGATAAAAAAAACAGTTTTCCTTTTCTATTTATTTAGCAGGTGCTTTGATCCAAAGGGACATAGGTTCAGCAGACAAGTCAGTGGGAGGAAACCAGTGGAGTAACCTTTAACCCCCAGGGCCTGCACCACCACCTGCAGCCACTAGCTCCTCTGCATTTGCTTATACACACTAAACCTAATTATTTTCAATGGAAAAGTAATTGTTGCTTTTTAAATTTGGTGAATGTGAACTGTATAATTTACATCACAATTTACAATAATATAAAGTCTTAAAGAAAACTTCACTAAAGTACATTTTCATTGGAGATGGCTTCGGCTGAGTATCGTTATACACTTACAGTCATTTAGCCTCACAACTTCTCTTAAATGTAAAAAATAAAAATAAAAATACAGCTACAGTACAAAATAATAGTGCTGTTATGATTAGTGTTACCAAATATACAAAAGTACAGATTTTCTAACAACCAGTACAATACCATAAGAAGGAAAACTTTTAAAAATGGGAAGAAAATGTTGTTTCAAACTGACAGATATTTACACAATTCCTCAGTGACTACCTTGTAGTTGTAGCAGAGCAGCTGATACTAATTATATATTATTACTTCCACATTGTTTCACAACCACCTAGCTTACTGTGTGTGCATCTATGAACTACTGTTGCATATAGTGTCCTGTCTCATTTTATTGTGGCATTTTTCGTCATTTTTGTACTCCTTTGTTATCTGTGCTGAGCTGTGGTAACGCATAAACTTCCCTACCCTGGGAATTAATAGTCATCTCATCTCAGCTTCAATTGCGGCATTTCATCAGTTGGCCACTAGATGGTAGCAACACCTCTCTCTCTCTCTCTCTCTCTCTCTCTCTCTCTCTCTCTCTCTCTCTCTCTCTCTCTCTCTCTCTCTCTCTCTCTCTCTCTCTCTCTCTCTCTCTCTCTCTCTCTGTCGCCGCATATATCGCGCTGAACGCATCAGAAGACTCGTGCGTGCGACAGTCTGGATTTTCTTCACTCCAGTCAGCTTTTACTCGGAGTCCAATTCTGTTGCAGGAGCGGTGGCGAGGAGCCCGCAGAGGTGAGGAAGGTTACATTATTATTTAGTTTGTCACCAGCTAAGAACAAGGGTTCAGTCATTTATTGGGTGATGTCTGCAGATATTTAAATCCCCTGCATGTATAAATATATAGATTTAGTTACCTGTATTTTAAATGTTATTTATAATGTTGCCACCTTTGAAGCAAAAACTAAAAAGTGAAACTTGAGAGAAAGAAAAACGTTTCAAACTTTTATTGAACTTCCTGCCATGCAGTTTAATGGCTTTATGGCATGAAGTTCATCATTTGACTTTCAGGCGTGTCAACCTGAATCTTTACAGACGTTTAAACACAGCCTGCAGCAGATATCTGTAAATGACCCGGTCCAAATGAGGACTGGTTTCCGCTCAGTCTGCTTCTGTAGACATCCAGTGAGTTTCCACTTGACCTCCCTAAAAACAGACAAATTAATTTCAACCTCATGCTTGAGTGCTTCTGGTTTCTTTTCAGCCGATTAAGTTTTTATTTGTCTGTAAACAATCTAATTACATCAGATAATTAGAACACGATGGATCATTTAACTGTGTTCAAATTATCTAAAGTGAGAAAGAAAGTTATAAAAATGACAACATGGTCCCTCTTTATTACCTTATTTGTTATTTAGTTGTTTAGTTATCTAAACACACAGTTAAAATGATGTTTTGACCTAAATCCAATCATCATCCGCCATGTTGATCACGTGCACTGTCCTAGTTCTGGGTTAAATCTCTAACATTTAGCACATCATTTCTGAGAGGTTCTGGCCCAGTGACATCATACAGCACCATACACATCCATGAGGTGAATCTTGCGTTCTGCCACATCTGCGCGTAAAAAACTGATCATTTAAATTTTAACAGCAAATTTGGGTTCAAATCTTCTACAGGTTTATGTGCTCACTGCAAATGCCCAGTGAGGCAATTTATGGTACTTTTACTGTGGGAAGATCCTTTTCTGTTGCACATTTTAATGTAGCTTAGTAAGTCAATGGGTTAATGAGACCAACATTTCATAAACAATAATAGGGCAAACGGAAAGTGAATTTTGTGCTGCATATATTAATTTCAGCCTGTTTTACACAGTTTTGTAACAAAATTAAAGATTGTCTGGGAAAAGAAATTAAAATAATTAGTTTTTGACTAAAGAGCCCTTAAAGGTTAGGCGGAAGATGTTTCTGAATTTTCAGGAAAGAACTGCCCTCTCCACGTTTTGAAAAAAAATGCACAAGAGAGAGAACGCCCCGTTACCTTCGCGCATGTTCTGTTTAGCTGCCGGCCTTGCAGCACTTCTTCTGCATCAGTAATCTGTAATGAATTTCTCCAGTTAGCATGCAGAACTTAAGCTTACCTGTCGAACAGAAAACTGGCAACAGAGGCGTCTGTGGGGAGCCCGACCTTCACTTTGCACATGCGCAGAAAGTAAAAACTACACAACAACGAGCACGTACAATGGCGGCCTTGCATCTAGGCCCAGAATGATTGACAGTTATGCGAATCAATGGTACAGATGATCCACCTGGAAGAACATGATTCTCTGCTATACCTTTAAGACCCTGTTTTAAAAAATGAACAGAAAATGCTATTACCGTAAATCCTCTAATATTAGCCTGTATTTAATTAACTGCCGGGTGTCATATTTTGGCCGGTGTCGGAGTCGGCGGAGGTGAATAATGGCCGGTTTTTTATTGTGGCTGGGTGGAATGTGGTAACAAGCAAGTACAGGGGGCGGTTGTGTCATCCGTCTCACTTTTGATTTGCCAGTGATAGACCGTGAGGGTAACTTTAACCGTGCGGAGACGAAGAGGAGGCAAAATTTTGATATCAAGTTCAAAGAGAACGAGCTGATTATGCTGCAGAACACTCTAGGGAGCAGTAGCAGGGGTTGTATGAACTAGTCACTAGTCGACTTCACCGCTCTATAGTGACTTTTTATGCCTGTCATCGACTAGTCGCTGTCACGTGATAATGACCGGCAAGATGCAGTCCTCGGAAAAGACAGCAGCCTGCTCTCAGCAGGTGACGAGCTCCTGCGCGTCGGGAGGCAACGCGCTGTGCCAGAGCGTCGGTACTAACACCCGCCGTAAAACGGACATTTAACCAAATTGTGACGTTTACCCTCTTGCAATTTAACCTTCCCCTCACCCCCATCCTAACCTTAACCAGCTTGCACATGCAAAGCTCTGATTGTTGATCCGCTCCACATATCTGCGTCCTGAGCATGGCCACAGTAACATTATCAAATCAGGTGTCGCCACCTCAAAAACTAATTTAACACGCAATCGTTCATGTCGGCTCATTTCCTTTTATGTTTTCTGTCTTTTATTCTTTTATTTGTTCCTGATGCGTTTCGCTGCTGTGGATCGGGGGGGCATCACCTGTTTTGTCCTCGGTGACGCACCACTGATTCGGCCGGCGTGCACTCCGCTGTTTTTGCGGTCAGTAGATCTTTTAGAACTGTAGTTCAAAGGTAACTCATAAGGTGAATATATATGAAGCCAGGTAGCAGTTTCTCTTTAGGATTGAGAGGAGATGCAGGAAGATAATAAACAGGCAGGACAGAAAAATAGTCAAATAAAAACAAGTTAGTTTTTGTACCTGGTGGTTGCAACAAACAGACACCATTGAAGGTAATCAGAAGTGAGGAACAGAAAATGAAATAATTATTTTAATGTTTAGAGCAGCAGGAACTCCGAAAGGCTGCAGGCACGTCAGTGAGTTTGCGGCCGCTGCGCAGGGGGAGGGGGGAGAGGGTTGAAGCAGAAACTACCGTTGTTAAAAGAAATGTGTTTAACTTTGAAAATGTGAGCGCAATTTTAATTGTCAAAAACTCCAGCGATCCATTAGTTCATTTTGCTCAAATAGAAATTGAGGCCTGTCTCTAATTCTGGTCCTCCTTCCAATAAAGGCCTGGAGCTTGATGAGCTTGAGTCAAATACAGGCCCGGGCCTGTATTAGAGGATTTACGGTATTTTACACTTTGCAATATCCGTGATAGGTTATAGGAATGTAAGAAAATATTGATATGGCAATATATTGTGATATTATTTCCTGTGATATATTGATATTCAAAAGCTGTGTATCACATTTTTGGAAGAATTTACATGCAAACATTTGTGCATTTTCTTTTCTTTTGGTGCAATCCAAACACCGACCACTAGCAGCAGTGTGCAATGTGTTTTGTTTCCACCACTGAAATTTAAATCCCTCTATTATGGTGCAGATACCTCATGTTAAACCTGAAACGTATCAGTTTGGACAGTTTGTTGAATATATTCAGTCTGAAAAAATTGCTAATATCGCCTGGACGAATATCGCAATATATTGTGTCGTCTCCCCTGTATAATGATACGTATCGTATCGCCAATATTTCACCAATACACATCCCTAATAGATTATGTGGTTTTTAAAGTTTCTTGTATCTATGAACTGATGAAAATCACACTTGTATCCAGTTTTGGACAACACATTAAGTATATAAATTTAAGGTTTAAACATCTGTAAATGCACTAAAATGTACATCAAACCACATTTTACTCAAAAGCAAAATTATTTTAAGTATCATTCTTGATCTTAGAAATAGTTAATTTCCTGTCACTGCCTGTGATTGCTGTTTTATTTTAGCCACTCCCTGCAGACGTGTGAGAGACCCACTATCTTCAGGCTATTTTTGGGCCACCTGTACGAAAGCCAACTCATTAACCTGATTCTTAAAGCCTGTCAGAACTTTTTCCTTGTGCCAGCTTAGTCATATATGTTTATGCTTTGTGCATCTCGGTCCCTGGCTGAGGATAACCTCGACTCAATGCTGTCGACACAGGCAGAAGCATCTGATGCATGTGACATGCTTGTTTATGTTAGACTCAATCCCGGCTTGCAGTTGTTTAGTTTTGTTCAAAATCAAAACAAAGCAAACAACTGTGTTCAATCAGCTGCTTCCACCACACACTCAACTCGACTTAGACTTACAGTTAGCATATTGAATTGTTGTTACCCTTTTTGTCTTGGATTTGTCTTAATGATGATTTAGCAACATTTAAATATAACAAAACTATTGTTTTTATTTTTTAACTGTGGGATTGGAAATGGTATGTTCTGTTCATACCAAAGATCAAAACCTCCTACTGTCAGGATCTGCTCCTACCCCTCTGACTCTAACTCTCTCCTGCCCTTGATTAGTTATTTATTGGACTCACCTGCCCCTTGTTAACCTGCCCATGTGTTCCTGATTGTTCCCTGTGTATTTATACCTTCCGTTTTGCATGTGTCCCTTGTCGGATCATTGTTGTTGTTGTTGTTGTGTCTCCACCTTGTCTCATTGCTCCTGCTGTATCCTCCGTCATTAAATCCATTTTATGTTATCTGAGCCTGCATTTCTGCCTTCTGGGTCAGCTCCACCACACACGGTCCGCCACCACCCACACCTCAACGTGACACCTACTAGGGATGCTCTGATCATAGTTTTCTTACCTCCAATTTGAGTATCTGCCAAGTGAGTTTCGATCCAAAGGTAACTCAGGCTCCAGGAGACTGCAAAACCTGACATTTGCAACCATAATCAGTCATCCATTGGTCCAGAATTGAATAACCCTGCTATACAGTAATGTATCAGAGCGGTTGGGATAACATGGCTATGTTATCTACTAGGGTTTAATATAAAACTTGTTGGAAAAACATCGGTTGTTTAGCGTAGTTTGAACTGCTTGATTGCAACTTATTTCTGAGTTATTATACAAGTAGTATTTCTTTACCCAAAAGTTGAATGAGAAAAATGTTTGGGCTGACAAGATCAACTGCTAATGTTAATATAAAAATGCATTTTACACATTTGTGTTAGATATTTTCAGTCAATTTCCTTTGGAACAAGAACTTTGGCTAGATGGAAACAGTGACTTCAGTGTTGAAAAGATGTAAAACATGTAGCTAAAAACACGAAGAATGCTTTAATCGCTTGAAATTTTTTAAAGAGTTTCTGTTATTAAAATTGATTAAAGATGATTTATTTA